GTCTCAAATGAAAAAGAATAATTCGCCTGGGTCAGATGGTCTCACAGTGGAATATTACAAAATAATTTTTGATTTAATAAGTTAAGATCTAACAGCAACACTAAATAACGCGTTAAGCACAGGCGAATTGACTTTCTCACAAAAAGAAGCATTAATTACATGTATATTTAAAAAAGGATACAAAAATGACATAAGAAATTGGAGACCAATATCACTGACTAACGTAGATTATAAATACTAACTAAAACAATTGCTAACAGATTGGTGAATATATTACCAAATATAATAAATAGCAATCAAACAGCGTGCATTAAAAATAAAATTATGAACAACAACTTAAGTTATACTAGGAACATAATAAGCATTGCTAATACAGAAAATTTAGATGCATGCATTCTCTCCATAGATCAGGTAAAAGCTTTCAACCGAGTTGACAGATGTTTTTTATTTAAAAGTCTTGAACATTTTGGTTTTGATAAGATTTTTGTAAATCAGATAAAAACAATTTATAATAAAATAAACGCTAAAATAAAAATAAACGGAGAAATTTCGCAAGTTATAGAAATTTTGAGAGGAGTAAGGCAAGGTTGCCCCTTATCCATGATTTTATACATCATACAAGCAGAAATATTTTCATCATATATAAGACAAAACAAAAACATAAAAGGAATAACTATAGGCTAAAAGAAACAAAAATACAACAATATGCCGACTATACTAAGTTTTATTTATGCGGTTATGTTTCTATTATAAATGTAGGCAAAGCCCTAAACCTTAATTATAAAGCAACAAGTACTAAAATTAATTTAACAAAATGTCAAGGCATATGATTGGGAAAAAATAGATTCGCAGAAAAGAAGCAGTTTCTAGACTTTACCTGGGACAAAAAATTATTCAAAAGCCTCGGTGCAACACAGGAAAGTTCACTTACGAAATGAATTGGAAAAAACCCTTTATTAAAATGGAAAGCATTATAAAGAAATGGGAAAAACATAAATTATCCCTTAAAGGCAAAAAATTATTAGTTAATACAATAGTAATCCCTCAAGTTGTACACTTGGCCTTTATTGTTCCTTTTCCCCATAAAAACATTTTATTAAGAATGGAGGCTAAAATAAACAACTTTATCTGGGGGGATAAAGTTATAAGACTAAGTAAGGAAAAAACACAACAGAAAATAAAAAATGGAGGTCTTGGAGTGGTTAACCTTACAAACAAACTCAAAGCAATACAAATGCATTGGGTTTCAAAAGTTATTAATAAAAATTTAGAAGGTCCATGGAAAGAAGCCATGATCCACATATTCAATTCTTATAGAAAATTAAATCTAAATAAATTCATTTTTGAAACAACTCTAACCCAAATTAAGGTATTTCCGCCTTTTTACAGACAACTATTATTAAATTTTTGTAAAATTAAACAAGATAACAGGGTGCCTGTAAATGAAATAGAGGAAATACTTTGTCAGCCACTTTTTTTAATTACAACATTAAAAATAATAAAAATAAATGTTTGACCCCAGAAAAGTTGCACATTTAAAATCATATTGTACTTGTAGCGGACAAATCCTTTATCGACTGGTTTGACTGAGATTGAAATGAACAATATAATAACAGCACTCCCAAAAAGTTGGATAAATAAAATATTAAACGAAGGACAAAAATATGATTTTAATAAACCGCCTTTTTATATATTGAAGAAAAAAGAAAGGTATGAGTACAAAAGACTCACAGTCGCAACACTTTATAAAATTCAAAACAAACCGAAAAAAATGATGGCTTATAAGTATAATCTCTGGGCATCTAAAGGATACCAAAGTATGCAAACGATCAGTGAAAACAAATGAAAATCTTTTTTCCTAAATATAAACGAAAGAAACACAAATAATAAAGGAAATAAAATATTTTTTAAGATTGCGCATTTTCTATTACCAACTAATGAAGATAGTCTTATTAGAAAAAAGACTAAACCATATATCATATGATGTATAAATGCGAAAAGGTGCAGCCTCTAATTTTTTTTTTATTAGATGTTTCGGATCAAATTTATCCAACGGAATATCCTCATTTTATTACTTTGAAGTTTATTTTGTTTAAATACGGGGCCAACGCGAGCAACAAAGAATTTAGCTATATTTTATTGGAAACTCTTGTGTTTGAAATATATTTTAAAAGAATGAAAAGGTTTTTTGAGAAAAAAAGTTTTAGTGTAAAGTTTTTACTTAAAAGGTTTGATTATAAAGTTAAACGCTTGCTTGTAAACGAGAGGTTATTATTAATTAATCAAAATGAACAAAACAAATACAAAGACGAATTAAGAAACATTTTTAAAAAAGGGGTTTTAAACCAAGTCGCTGATAGAAATAACTATTTTAAATAATTTTTTCTTTTTTTAGTATTTAGTTTCTTTTTTTAATTTATTATTTCTCCGAGAGCTTTTCCTTAATTATATTTTTTTATTTACTATAAATGTCATAACGAATTCTTTTGTAAAACAGGGCTTCTTTATTTTTTTTTTTAAATAAAAAAAAACTTTTTTTATTCTCTATAAACGAAGGAAAAAGAGATATGAAAGTGAAAATAATTAATGACAAAATAAGTTTTTTAACTAATTGCTAACACACGGAACTTTCTTAAATAGTTCCGATAGAATTTTAATTTTTGTTTTTTCTTTTACTTCTTACTTTCGTTTCTAATATATGTAGAAGTTTTTGTTTTAGTCCATAAAGAACATCTTTGTAAACATTTTTTTCGTTTTTCGATTTATTTTAAACCTTGTATTTGTTATGAGGACGTCAGTATGGCAATTAGCCGGATGACGTCATTACTGACGCCATATTGACGTAATTACTGACGCCATATTACTGACGCCATACTGACGTCAGTATGGCGATTAGCCGTCATCCGGCTAATTGCCATACTGACGTCCTCATAATAAATACATATCATATATATATATATATATATATATATATATATATATATATATATATATATATATATATATATATATATATATATATATATATATATATATATATATATATATATATATATATATATATATATATATATATATATATATATATATATATATATTTGCTGGATTGACCCGTAAAAATACGGGTCTTTGTAATTCTATTCCACACAAACCTTTTCCCTTATTTTCTTAATCTAGCTGTCCGTATCGGTAAATACAGGTCTTTTCTTCTACTTCTATATTTATTTATTCCACGCCAATCATTTCTTTACTTGTTCCTTATTTACTTCAATATTTTTTTGTAAACGGTGGAAAAAAATTCATCAAAAAAATTTGCTTTAAGAGCAAAAAAAAACTTTAACATACGCACTTTTTCCGCATACGTATATAGCTTATTAAACCCCGTTTATTTATTTTTTTTTTTTTAAAATTCTGAACTAAACTACTTCCTACATTTAGACCAGCCATGGACCATGGTTTATGGTCGCGTCCTAGCCATTTTCAATAGTTACTATTTACTATATTTATTATTATTATTATATGCTTAGTTTCGAATAATAACGGTCTTTTATAGTTACCTTTGTATTAGACGGAAACGGTAATGCAATTCTTTAAAACGTTAGTCGCTTAAAGCGTCAAAAGTCATGCAAAAAAATAAATTATAAATTTTGTGGTTTAAAAGTTGAAAAACTAATAATAATATAACAAAAAGTTTGGTAATTTTTAAACGTTATTATTTAGCTCTTACTTATGGTGTTTATTTTGTTTTCATTTTACATTTTTAAAAAAATGTTGAAGCGCCTAACTACATGCATAACTTTGATAGCTCACAAGTTAAGTGCGCTGTCATCAGATTTGCTGTGCAAGGCTTCAAATCCGCGCCTAAAAAATCTCAATACATTTTTTTGAATCTGGCTATATTTATAGCAAAAAAATAAATATAACAAAAAACCTTTTAATTATTTTTTTTTTCCCTGCCTCCACTGCAATACCATGTGGAGTAGCAGGACGGTTTTATCAAATTTTTTCTTTATTAGGTTTTAGGACCTTTTTTTTTAAGACTATCCGTAGCTTATTAGGACCAATTATGTGAGAACAGTATCAAAATTGTGACACACACGCAACAAATTTTCGCCCCGTTTATTGGTGTTTTTAGAAATCCAAAAAATATATAAAATATAAAAAGAAAAAACGGTTAAAGTGTATAACATTTAACTTATTTAACTTCACAAATATTTTGTAATTTAAAGAAAAAAATCGCTGGTGGTAAATTTGAACCACGACTATTACGTTCAGAAGCTTAGCGCGCTAACCACTCGGCCATGCTGACACATCAAATATCGAAATTTTAAAAATATATAAAAATTGTTTTTAACGGAATTGCTGTAGATCAAAAATTAAGGAGAGGTTGACGCAATGCAATTTTTAAGTCAAAGTCAAACTATAAAACTTGAAAAATGTTTCAGTATGTTTTATCATTACTTAATTACGTACGTTAGATATTTGCATACACGTTTTCTTCTAAAAAAAGTGCTGCGACTCTTTCTACTAACACTACTATTAAGTTCGGCATTATTATATAGAAGATAGAATAGTTTTTCACTTAAAAAGACAAACTCTATTCCACATTAACCTTATCTCTATTTCTCCCTCAAATATTATTTAGTGAACAATAGATTATGTGCTAGAAAAAAAAAATTCACATATGCACCTTTTCCGTATATTTATATTTAGAGCTTAACATGAAGAAGGTAAATCATTTAGTTCAAGACAACCTGCCCAAACCCAAATCCTCTGTTGATTTATGCACACTCACTGTGGCTAGGCCTGTAAAATAAGTAGCTAGGCAAGTCAAATAAATTAATTTGATCTTTTTTTTCTGCATAAAACAAAAACAGAAAATGTGAAGTACTTGATAAAAGGAACTGTAATATTGGATTTAGTTAATTCAATACAAAGTGATAGGAAACTGCAAAATAAGGTAACAACGTGAAAATTATTAAAATACTAATTTACAACAATTTGTATTGCGTTTTATTAAAATAGCTTTATTAAATGGTATGAAGATTGATTATTCTTCTTCTTCGCCTTTAGAAAACGATTTGAAAGACTTTTAAATTGATTATAAAAGCATTATCTAAAAATGAAATAAAATCATTATAGATAACACTGAATGCACATTTATTTGTTTTATGTTAATTCATTTGAGAAATGAAAAATACGAAACAAAATTTAGTAAAAATTAGTTCGGCAATATTATATAGAAGATTAGACACTTACTTTGTGAGAGTGCTTTTTTAAAAGTCTCTAATATTTGGTTGGAAGGCTGGAATAACTCTTTTTTTAAAAAAATTCAGTTTTATCAGCATTGCTAAAGATAAAAATTCTTACTGACACAAAAAAATTAGGCATTTTTTCTTAAAATATTTCTTGGCTTTTAGTGAATGATTAGGAGTAAGTTTCAGTAATGAAGCTACCCAATAATCATTTTTAACGATAGACACCAACGTGAAGGTAAGCCAAGCTGTCTATCAACACAAAACATCACAACAACATTTCAGGATGACAAACAATAACACCAGTAGTGTAGGCAGGATTTTTGTTGTTTCAGATATATATTTAGAAGCTGTTGAAGAGTTTAACTTTGTTATGTCTAAAAAAATTCAGGTTAGGAAAAACACTTTTTTTAAACATTTGTTCCTAAGCTTTAAAAACATCAATTTTTTGCAAAGTATTTTAATTCTATAAACGTGAATACACTTAAGTTTGGTTGAAAATGCTATCTGAAGCATCAAAAGACCCTGCCTATGCTACTGAATACACATAGCATCAAATATTTGTACATAACACATTTGCACATAACACAAAATATTCAGATTATGTGTTTCCAGAATAATTAAAAAAGCTAGACAACACAACCTAGCTCAACACTTGTAACACCGCTTGGCACTAAACGCTGCCAAGTAACACCACAATTTAGTAACACCGCTTGGCATTAAGTGCCAAGTAACACCACTAATTAGTAACACCGCTTGGCTAGCAAGAATCACAATCTTGCACTACACGTTGCCAAGTAACACCACTTTTCACATGGAAACAACTTAATATAAACTTGTATAAACTTAAGCACATAAATATAAATAAAGATATATAAACGCATATAAACACATTCATTTATAAACACATATAGCAAAAAAAAAAAAAAAAAAACATACAAAAAATATAAAACACATATAACACATAATATACTTGTCAAAATTATAAATTAAGAACATTTGTAAAGACAACATTATTTGTGTAATGTTTGTTAAATGACGTACCTTGTAATGGATGTTTATCAACTTTGAAAAACAAACTATTAAATGATCTTGTTCTTGAACATGCAATATATAATTGGCCGTGTGAAAAGCAAGGTTTTTTGAGATAAACACCAACTTTTTCAAATGTTTGACCTTGACTTTTATTTATGGTCATTGAGTATGCTAACCTAACTGGAAACTGACGGCGTTTAAGTGTAAAAGGTAAATTTGCATCTGATGGAGCTAATTGAACTCGAGGAACAAATACCCTGTTACCAGCTGATACACCTGTTAAAACCTCACCATCAATATAATTGTTGTGTAATGCACGCACCATCAAACGGGTTCCATTACAAAGTCCACCTTTGAGATCTAAATTTCTAAGTAGCATTATAACAGCACCAATTTTTAATTTTAGGCAATGAACAGGCATACCTGATGGAGTCAAACTATTTAAAAACTCGACTGGAAAGTTATTAATTTCATTAAGATCATCAGTATCAATGCTATCTGAACTTAAATATGTTTTCACATCACCGGGTAAGCGATGAAGGACTTCTTCATTTATTGCCAATGAATCAACATTTGTTGGCGTTAAAATAGCACGTTTTGCATAATCAGCTTCTTCTGCACCACCGAAAATCTTCTCCACAATAGATTCATTATCACTGAGAAAGCACTGCTCAGGTATTTCAATACACCCTCGCAAAGGATCTTCAGGCTTGACAGGTAATGTTCCACTTCCAAGCTTTAAAAGCCATTGAGAAAATTCCTCTTTTTCTATCTGAACCCTCATGTTTACATGAGGGTTCAGATAGTTGCCAATGTTCAGAACATTTTAAACATGATTCTATAACTTCTGCTGGTCGACCTCGCTTCACAACTGGAAGTATTTGTCTGAAGTCTCCACCCATAAGAATAACCTTACCACCAAAAGGAAAGTTGTTATTACAAATATCTTGTAATAGCTTATCAATGGCACTCAAAGCATATTTGGGTATCATAGATGCTTCATCAAGTAAATACAAACTGATTTGTCTCAGGAATCTACCATGAATAGAGTTTGGAGTTACATTACATGTGCTAGTTTCCAAAATTGGAACAGGAAGTTTGAATAAGCCATGCATTGTGCACCCATTTTTGAGAAGAGTTGCAGCTATTCCTGTCCATGCAGCTGTTGCAGTTCTAATATGCCTGCTCTGTGTTTCAGAAATTAAATAGTTGTAAGTAAATGTTTTACCACAACCGGCAGGCCCATCCATAAAAAACAACCTTGAATGCTTATTTTCATTAGTAGGTTCCACACTTATTGCAGCAAGGATCGCATCAGCTACATTACGTTGATTATCATTCAATAATGGTCTAACTCGGTTTGCTTCATCAATAAACACCTGAACATCTTCATCATCATTTTCTGGGACATTATCTAAAAACTGATCTAAAGCTGGCAAATTATAATCAGCTAAGGTTTTACCACTCTGATTAATTATAGATTCAATTTGACGAAGAGCTGCCTGCTCAGCAAGTACGACTGGCATTGAATGGTGTATGTAATCCTCAACCATATAATTTTTAAATGTATTCCAAAGGTGTAAAGGATCATCAGGTTCACATAAAGTTAATATGATGCAAAACAGTAGCCTAATTTGTTTAGGCATCCGAGTTGCAGCAGCTTCAATTAATGTATTTCTCCACTCAATGTCATCTTGCAATAAACCTAAATGATAACATGTTTCACGAAATGTATCAAAAACAGTACCATGAACAGTACGCAAATCCTCGAAAGACTTTTCACCTTTTACATGCAAAAGTAACAACCTGAGAAAAAATAATTCGCAAAATGAACTGACTTTATACATTCGAACAACCACCTTATCACTACCTCTTTGTCTTACTTTCCACATGCAATTTTTACCAAAAACAAAGTGATATGGAATTTCAACATAAGAATACTGACGTGCTTCATTATTTTCAGCATTTAACTTAAACCAAGCGGTTAGGTGAGTGTCACGCTGTGCTGCACGATCTATAGCTACTTGTTCTTTTCCTTCGTTAAAATATACTCTCTGATTATCAGGAAGGTGGATTTGAAGGCGGATAATAGTATGTGACATATCACTTATGGAATACTCATATATTCGCCAAAGAGCCTCTGGGGCGGAAACAAAGCGACAGTCTAAATATGTGTTAATTTCATCATGGTCAACACTTTCATTAAATACCACATTCGCACAATCATGCCCCTTATAGACATATTTGTATAAATACTTCACTGACTTAATAGACATGCAAGCTTCAACATTAATGTGGGCTTGGTATTTTTTTGATAACCAGGGGTTATAGGGTACGACCCATCGATTATCAACTTGGTTACCTTTTATAATGACTACTCTACCATTATCTAAACGCCTGTAGTTAGGATAACCATTGAAAATTGCAACAGTGCAAGGATTAAACTCTTTAGGAAATTTTTTTGTGCAAACTCCATCTTTCATGCAAGGAGAATTGGGATTTAAAATCCCACATGGTCCATGAATCATACATGTTTTTACAATTTCAAAAAGTTCAGGATCAACAGTTTGATCTGGAATTTCAGCTGATATTAAACTATCAATATCCTCTGCTGTTTCTAGCTTATCATCGTTTACAAAGTGTAATAAAATATGCACATGTGGCAAACCACGTTTTTGAAACTCAATAACCTGTACACGACTTACAACTTTGCCTAAGACTCCATGTTTAAAAATATCACCTAAGAAGCATTTAAGTTTCATCTTAAATACGCGACAAACTAAATCAGGCCTGTCAGTTGCGCTCTCACCTGGATTTAAATTTTCTGTAATTTCTCTCCATTTTGAATTACAGGTAAAAGTAATAAAAAGATCTGGTTGACCATATTTCTTTATAATTGCCATTGCATCTTCAAAATTTTCTTTTAAAGCTCTTGGACTTCCAACATATGAGGATGGTAGTACAACAACACGACCCGGTCTTACATTAAGGTTATTTGCAACATTATTTACATACTCATGTAATGTATCGTATTGTTCACTTCTAAGTTTGTTTTGGTTATTTCTGATAAAAGCAAGGCGCTGTCCTTCAATCTTGACATATGCATCAACAGCATACTGTTGAAAAAGTTTCTTACCATAAAATATAAGACTGAACGTTTGTCTAATAGAAAGCCTATAGTTGTAGTACTGAGATAAAGTAACACAATTTCGAACACGTGTTGCTCGGTCAGGATTGTGCTCTAGTTGATCATGCCAACCTGCATCACCTCTTGGAAAAAATATTGGATATATCATTGGATCTAGATTTGCAGACATACTTGAAATTGTTTTTAAGGGTTGACCTCGAGGATAAATAACAACTTCTCTAGATGGAGGTGGAGCACCATCATTTCCTACAAACACAATGGCAACCTCTTCATGTGATGGAAGATTGTATCGACGTCTATCACAACCCTCAAGCAACGACATTTTGACAACAGAAATCGGTCGACCTTCTATAGCAGCTTGACGAATTACTGCATCTTCAACTTCTGCCATGTTTTTAAATGCAAGCGCATATGGGTTCTCCTGATTAATTATAGTCTGCAAAAGTTCCATTAACTCACGTATGCAACAATCATTTTGCTCCATTCGAAAGTTTAAAGCAGTATTAGGATCATAAACATATAATTGACAATAAGCAGGTGGATCCCCTTGCTGATGTCTTAGATTACCAATACGATGCATAATTTGCCCACTAATTCTAAAACAGGGTGGACCACAATTTGACGGAGGATCTATTGTGGCTATGAATGAAGCAAAAGATAGACAGGCATTATAATTTCGTATATGCTTGAAAAAATTTTGATTCAAAGCACGATCAACATGGTTGCCTGTCATTAAATCAACCATCAGCGGTGGATAAGGTGAAAGTGGAGGTAAGACAACCTTTCCCGAACGGCAGCACAAAAAATGTGTTTCATTTAAAAAATTTTTAGCACCACAATACTGACAATTATGGTTCATTTCTCCTAGGTAATTACTCTCTATAAAAACATTATTTCTTGCTATGCAATGCATTTCACGCCTAAATAATACTCGTCGAGCCTCATTTCTTTCATTTTGGCGACGAATAACTTCTTCACGTCTAGCCTAATTCCTTTCATTTTGGCGACGATTAACTTCTTCACGTCTAGCCTCATTCCTTTCATTTTGGCGACGATTAATTTCTTCTCGCCTAGCCTCATTTCTTTCATTTTGGCGACGATTAATTGCTTCTCGTCTGGCCTCATTTCTCTCATTTTGGCAACGATTAATTTCTTCTTGTCTGGCCTCATTTCTTTCATTTCGACGATTTCTTCTATTTTCAGCTCTTAGGTTACTTGACATAATTGAGAAATTATTTATGTTTGATAAAACTTTATCTTAATAATTTTTTGCTATACTAATCTAAAATGAACAAAAACAATAAAGTGCTATTTATCAGTTTAAACCTATGAAACTATGTGTATAGCATCTAATAAAATTTGTGAACAAAAGATATAACTAAACTGGTTTGAAACAGAGAAAAAGCCAGAAGTATCTTGTAATAACATACTATATTGTAAGTAATAAAACAGTATTTTTTCAAACAAATAAAAAATTTTATTATTTTAAAAGTCATATTAATGGTAATATTGAAAAGCAAAATTAGTTACATATTTTTAAATGACATGCCAACAATTGCAAACATGTTGCATCATATAGACCACATGTGGCTGACAACTGATTTTAAATACTATTTTATAATATATCTAAAGAGAATAATGTAAAGAGATTAATATGTGTATAGTGCATATATTAGACATATTAAACAGATATCATAGAAAAAGAAAAACTTTAAATATATTTACCCAATCTTTCAAAAACTATATAACACTTAACAAATAAAAGTTAATACAAAAGAAAATTTAGTATTATTAAAATTAAAAATGAGGATAAAAAGATGTAAAAACGTAAATTAATAAAAAAACTTATAGACAAATTATTAAAAACTTTTATAACATAAGAGTTCTTTGTTAGTTTAGGATTTAAAAACAGAATTAAAAATCAAAAAAATAAAATAGTAAAAGTATATAAATTAGAATAATAAAAAATTGCGAAATTAAAAAAACATTTTTTTAAAAATTCAATTTTCTTTATAAATAAAAAAGAAGATAATTCTACCAGTAGTTTAAAAAAGCTACTGGTAGAAATTAAAAGAGTTAAATCACTTTCCAGCACCCCTCCTTCTACCAGTGGTGTCATATGGGGCTTCTCTCCTCCATCTAAAGGAGGGATCATCTCCCCCATATTGACTCCACCGGTAAAAAGCTCTTGAAGATATTGGACCTGGGTGCTGAAAACGATATTGCAGGAAATCTTGATATGATGCTAAAAAACAAAAACAAAAAAAGAAATAAATTTGAATACAATACTGCACAAAACAACCAATAAAAATATTATCTAAAACTATTTAGACTTCAAAAAAAAAAAAGTTATGACAAAAAAAATAAATAAATAAAGTAATGTAAAAATATAGATATGCAATGTTTAAATTTCATATATACCTACACAAATACACATAACACCCACAAAACTGCATAAGTATGCAAAACAGATTACCTGATGGTCCTGCAGATATTGTTGCTATTGCAGAAATAAATAAAAAAGTATATAAACAAACACATATATTAAACAGTTATGTAATTGCATACAAACATGAAAAAAGTAATGTTTAGGTTTCAATACACATAACACTGCATAAATACGGAAAAACTGCATAAGTATGGAAAACACATTACCTGGTGGTACTGCAGTTGATACTGTTGCTATTGCAGAAATAAATAAAAAAGTATATAAACAAACACATATATTAAACAGTTATGTAATTGCATACAAACACGAAAAAAGTAATGTTTAAGTTTCAATACACATAACACTGCATAAATACAGAAAAACTGCATAAGTATGGAAAACACATTACCTGGTGGTACTGCAGTTGATACTGTTGCTATTGCAGAAATAAATAAAAAAGTATATAAACAAGCACATATATTAAACAGTTATGTAATTGCATACAAACACGAAAAAAGTAATGTTTAAGTTCCAATACACATAACATTCATAAAACTGCATAACCAAGCAAAACACATTTAAAAAAATTTAAGTTTCAATACACATAAAACTCATAAAACTGCATAAGTATGCTAAACAGATTACCTGATATTATTGCTTGAGGTGTTAATGTATAGACAAAAAAATAAAGAAATAAAGTGATGTGCAAAATAAGATATGCAATCTTTAAGTTTTTCATTAAATTACATCATTACCTGATGGTACTGCAGATGATATTGATGCTACTGTGAAATAAAAAAAAAAAAAGTGTATAAAGTAACATATGTTAAACATTTATGTAATTGATAACAAACATGAAAAAAGTAATGTTTAATTTCAATACCCATAACACTCATAAAACTGCCTAAGTATGCAAAACACATTACCTGATGGTACTGCAGATGATATTGATGCTATTGTAAAGGTAAAAAAAAAAAAAAAGTGTATAAAGTAACATATGTTAAACATTTATGTAATTGCATGAAAACAGTAATGTCTAAGTTTCAATACACATAAAAACCCATAAAACTGCATAAGTATGCTAAACAGATTACCTGATATTATTGCTTGAGGTGCTAATGTAGAGACAAAAAAATAAATAAATAAAGTAATCTGTAATTAACATATGCTATCTTTAAGTTTTAATACACATAACACTCATAAAACTGCATAAGTATGCAAAACACATTACCTGATGGCACTGCAGATGATATTGATGCTATTGTGAAGGTAAAAAAAAAAAGTGTATTAAGTAACATATTTTAAACATTTATGTAATTGATAACAAATATGAAAAAAGTAATGCTTAAGTTTTAATACACATAACACTCATAAAACTGCATAAGTATGCAAAACACATTACTTGATGGTACAGCAGGTGATATTGATGCTATTGTGAAAGTAAAAAAAAAAAAAAAGTGTATAAAGTAACATATGTTAAACATTTATGTAATTGATAACAAACATGAAAAAAGTAATGTTTAATTTCAATACACATAAAACCCATAACACTGCATAAGTATGCAAAATACATTACCTGGTGGCACTGCAGATGATATTGATGCTATTGTGAAAGTTAAAAAAAAAAAAAAGTGTATAAAGTATCATATGTTAAACATTTATAAAACTGCATGAAAACATGAAAAAAAAAATTAAGTTTCAATACACATAAAACACATAAAACTGCATAAGTATGCTAAACAGATTACCTGATATTATTGCTTGAGGTGTTAATGTATAGACAAAAAAAAAAAGAAATAAAGTGATGTGCAAAATAAGATATGCAATCTTTAAGTTTTTCATTAAATTACATCATTACCTGATGGTACTGCAGATGATATTGATGCTACTGTGAAAGTAAAAAAAAAAAAGTGTATAAAGTAACATATGTTAAACATTTATGTAATTGATAACAAACATGAAAAAAGTAATGTTTAATTTCAATACACATAACACTCATAAAACTGCATAAGTATGCAAAACACATTACCTGATGGTACTGCAGATGATATTAATGCTATTGTAAAGGTAAAAAAAAAAAAAGTGTATAAAGTAACATATGTTAAACATTTATGTAATTGCATGAAAACAGTAATGCCTAAGTTTCAATACACATAAAACCCATAAAACTGCATAAGTATGCTAAACAGATTACCTGATATTATTGCTTGAGGTGCTAATGTAGAGAAAAAAATAAAAATAAAGTAATCTGTAAATTAACATATGCTATCTTTAAGTTTTAATACACATAACACTCATAAAACTGCATAAGTATGCAAAACACATTACCTGATGGTACTGCAGATGATATTGATGCTATTGTGAATATATAAAAAAAAAAAAAGTGTATAAAGTAACATATGTTAAATATTTATGTAATTGTTTACAAACATGAAAAAAGTAATGTTTAAGTTCCAATACACATAACACTCATAAAACTGCATAAGTATGCAAAACACATTACCTGATGGTACTGCAGATGATATTGATGCTATTGTAAAGGTAAAAAAAAAAAGTGTATAAAGTAACATATGTTAAACATTTATGTAATTGCATGAAAACAGTAATGATTAAGTTTAAATACACATAAAACCCATAAAACTGCATAAGTATGCTAAACAGATTACCTGATATTATTGCTTGAGGTGCTAATGTAGAGACAAAAAAATAAATAAAGTAATCTGTAATTAACATATGCTATCTTTAAGTTTTAACACACATAACACTCTTAAAACTGCATAAGAATGCAAAACACATTACCTGATGGTACTGCAGATGACGCTATAGTGGAGGTAAAAAATATATTTACATAAACTAATCAATTAAACAGTTTATTTTAGAGTGATAAAACCGCACACAAACATCAAAAAATTGTGTGTTAAAAATAAACAAAAAGAAACATAAGTCTACTTTGCTTACCAATTGAATTTTCTAAATTTTTTAAATAGAATAAAAAAAAACTCATTAACATTAGGAAAGAAACAAACAATGTTAGTTTCTTTCCTAATGTTAATGAGTTTTTGACAAATATAAATAATAAAGTTGACAAATATTCTGCATGTTAAACATGCAGAATATTTGTCAACTTTAGGAAATCTATAAATAAAGTTTGAACAAAACAAAATGCAAAAACAACAATCACAAAACAAAACAAACCAAAAAAGAAAAAAGCGACAAAAAAAAATAAAAAAAAAAACTAAAGAAACAATCCACAAGAACAATATAGTAACTTACTAAGTTGTTGAAATATAAGCCCTATAAAAAAAAATGCTAAAATTTGTATCAAAAAAGCTAAAAGACCATAGAATACACCTTTTTTTTTGAAAGTAAAATGCTATATCTTTATCTATAATACACAAATGTAATATAATCAAATTCTGTTTACCCATTGAATGTTCTAATTTTTCTAAATAAAATGAAAAACTTATAAACATTAAAATAAACTAACTTGCCAAATATAGAATAACTTTATGTTAAATAAATATGTAATAAAAAAAAATAAAGAGCATGACAACAACAATAACAAATTGCTTACTTAGATTCTCAACAGAATCTTCTAATTTTTCTAAATAAAATAAATTTAAATGTTACAAAAGTCACTTGTTGACTGACTAACTGTCACAACTGACAAAAGTCAGTTGCTAAATAACTTTAAAAAAACTAAAAAAGCATAAATGTATTTGCACACAAAAAAAACAAAAAACAACAACAAAATTCCTCACTTAGCTTGTCCATTATTTCCCCTAAACATTAAAAAAAAGTTATAATTAACAAATTGCTGAAATTGGTGAAATATATATCTTTGTAACGTATCCTTCTCATACAAAATTAGCTTACTTGGCAAGACCTCTTCGGCTCTGATCTCTTGAACATCTAATATATATATAGACAAAATTAATTTTCAAAATATTTACTTTTTCAATTAAACATATAAAATTTGTCTTAAATTATAAAACTGTTGCACAGTTTTATAATTTAACACATTCAGTAAATGACAAAAAGTTTCATTTTACGTAAAAGTTTAGTAGTTAGAAGACTTAAAAGTCAATTTTAGCTTAAACACGTTTTATAAAATTATAGCTTAAAAAACCTTATACGCGTTATTAAGGTTCACTGCTTTACAAAAACATCAATCAAAATGGTGGAATAAACAAATTTTGGGTCCACCCTTTTAAAGTTCTAAAAATTAATTTATATATTTTTTAATTTTAGTTAAATTTTAGGGGGGTGTACTTGATTCACGGGGTTAGGGGAGGGCGGCATATCTTGGTTGATTTTAATTAAAAACGGCTAAATTAAATCATCGTTTTATTCACACCGTAAATCAAGTACAGTTCCGCCACTTTTAGAACATATGTAACTGCTACTATATATAGTATATATAAATGGCTTACTTCGAAAAAATGCAGAAACTTCTTCGTCGCCTAAAGATATACAAAATTATCTCAATGTAATTTCTTAATAAAATAATAAGCTAAATATCTCAGTATTATTGACGTATCATCTCTTTTTATCTCTTTAATTAATTAATGTTATACAAAACTAAAAGAATACCTTCTGTATCTTGGCTGCTCATTTCTAAAAAATAATCTTAATGTTTATTCTTGGGTCAAAAACATATTAACTTCAAACATATTAACATGGTAATTATAAAATAAGTTTAATTTTTTAAATGAAGATTACAATAATTAAACTTGTAGTTACAACTTACTTGTCGTCCCTCGCTTTGCAATTGTTATAATCGATATGAAGACCACATGGCCGAGTTTTATTGGTTTTAGAGTACAGTTGGCGCACATAGGTATTGTGGTTTATCCTCTTCCGGCTAATTGCCATATAGAGGCCACATTACCAAGGCCCGCAAAGACAGGTTCGGCTCCCCAAGGAGCGTCATAACCCGCTCTACGGACCAAGAGTAAAGTGAGTTTAGAAAGAACGAAGAATGTTAGAGTAAAAGACAGAAGAAGTCGTGTTAGAAAGATAGCATACAGAAAGCGGACAGGATTGCACACGATGTTAGAAGGTGCAATTTAATTAAATACTTATTAAAAAATAACTATTTAATTTTTTTTATAAATTATAGTTGCGCACATATCATAATACAAAAATCAGATGGTTTTGAATCTATTAATTAAGCTGTTTTTATTAACGGATTTGGTGGATTTAATTAGATAACCGCAAAGTAGTTTTACAGTGGTTTAAGAGTTGGCGTACGTTTCGTAATACAAAAATCAGTTAATATTTGTTTATATCTTAATATTCGAGCATTTCTATTAGCGGATTAGGCGCAATTTTGAAGGTTTTCTGTTTGTCACCTTCTGGAGTAACTAAATTTTTTTTTTAGGTTTCAGATTACAATTTCTTTTTTCATATCTTTCCGTACTTTTTAGGACTCTTGACCAGTTAGTTTTAATAAAAATTTCAGATTGCATGTAAAACCTTTTTTTTATATATATAAGAAAGAAATTTATCTCTTTAATGAGTGTTGAACTCGCAGTTTTAACAAATTACCTAAAACATAAGTATCTCTATCATGATATATGCGCAACAAATTTCCAACAGCGTTTTTATGTTTTTAAAAATTTTTAAAAACGTTTTAAAAAATTCTATCCGTTTGGTTTGTTATAGTATATTATATCTTTATTTTCATGTAATGCGTATAACATCTATATGCATTTAAACTTGTTTTTCTTTGTTTTCTAGAAAACTGGATAGGATTTAAAAAAAAAATTGTGTAAGCAAAAGGTTTTGAACCGAAGCGAAGCACTTCAATCGCTGTGGAGTGTTATATCATCTTTTTACACTATTTAATAAACAGAAAACTTATTAAACTTTAAAAAACAACATTTAATGCTTTAAAATAAAGAGATAATGTCGCAATGAAATTATTAAGTAAAAATAAATCGGTAGAATTTGATGTCATCTACTTTATAATTATACTGATTGTTGAAGAACTTAAAGTTTACATATTTAGATACTTGAATAGGCTTTCGTTCACATTAATAAAATAGAAATCATTACGGATTGTGGTTCCGAAAAAAAAGGTTAATACACTACCATCTATAATTATTGGAAGGGTCATATTTTTTAATATCAAAGATATCAAAGTTTGGCGAAAAAGTGAGAACAATGTCTACCTGAATTATATGCTATCTTCCTATTTATTCGGTTTACAAATAAAACTTCCCTGATTAGTTTATAGTTTATTTAAAACCCTGATTAGCTTTTAATTTATTTGCCTATTAATCACCCTTAGCAACAATAACCGCCAGAAATATATTCTTAGCATTCTACTTAACGACTTATCTAATTAGTCTATTTTGTCACTAAGTTTTTTCAACAAAAAAAATACACATGTATTAAATGTATATCAATTTATTTATCTATTTAATTTAATCTTTATATAATATATAATTTAATATATATAATTTAATTTAATTAATATAATTGAAATACTACTAATCAATTTACTGATATTTTTTCTATAGCATTGTTAAAAATGGTCATATTCTGAAAGGTAAAGAAATTTATTGAAAAGAAAGTTGCACAAAAGAAAAAAAAAACTAAATAAAAGTTATTCGTTTCAAAAAACGTTTTACGAAGAGTTTTTTCAAACAATTTTATTTTTAATTGGGTTTTTTTTGAATTACGTCATAAGCATATTAAGGCGTTTTGAAAAACAGTTGCTGCATATATTTATAGTAAAAAAGTTAATGTAGCAAAATAAACTTTTAATTGTCAAAAGAAAGTTTTAAAGTTTTATCTAGCTACAGGTTTTGTTTTTTTTTGCCTCCACAGCAGCATCTTATGAAGTAGCAGGGCTGTCTTGTTAAGTTTTTTTTTTTATTAAGTTTCAGACAACTTTTTTTTCAGACCATCCGCAGCTTATTAGGACTAATTACATTCGCACATTAATAACATAAGTGTCTCAATTATCATAGATACGCAACATATTTTTTCTCCTGGTGATGTTTTTTTTTTTTTTTAATGTTTTATGAAGTTTTAGCATTCTTAAAATCTTTTCTTTTGTGAGTGCATAATATCGTTACGTTACATATGTTTGTATATAATCTTTATAAAACTTCGAAAGTATTTTGTATTTTAAAATAATTAAAAAAATTAAAAAAAACAGCCGCCTTTGGTAGAAGTCGAACCTCTAGTTCCTTGTTCAGAAGTTCGCCGCCCTATCCACTCAAGCTACGCCAGCATATCATCAAGTGTAGATTTTATAAAAATGTTGTAATTTTTTTGAGGAAAAATATGTTAGATCAAAATTAAGGAGAGGTTGACGCAATGTAATTTTCAAGTAAAAATCAAACTGTAAAACGTGATAATTGTTTCAGTATGTTTTAACATATGCTTTAACATTACTTAGTTTAAAGTTTACGTTCTTTAGATATTTGTTCACGTTTTCTTATAGTGCTGCGACTCTTTCTTGCCAATACCTCGGTTGCAATGGCTGCCAAGGGTTTCGTGTCAAATACGCTCCAAGGGACACTACTACTACTATTAAGTTCGGCAATATTATATAGAAGATATATATATATATATATATATATATATATATATATATATATATATATATATATATATATATATATATATATATATATATATATATATATATATATATATATATATATATATATATATATATATATATATATATATATATATATATATATATATATATATATATATATATATATATATATATATATATATATATATATATATATATATATATATATATATATATATATATATATATATATATATATATATATTGTTATTAGAATAAACTGAAAAAGGCAATCAGCTATCAAATAATTCTTTGAAAGACAGTAAAAGCTGCCAAACATAAACTGACAAATAGTTCAATTATTTGGTGCAATCTTTTGCCTAGAATGGAATAAAGTTTTTAGTAAACTCATAAGCTCTGTATAATGTTTTGTGTTAACCAAGATGGAAGCCGTTTTAAATATTGGCTTCGAAAAAGTCACGGGTCTCCTGTTTATTAAACCTCTTTTAGTACGTGCGTATTTTATAATAAAACGAATCGCGCAATAAACAATTTAATTATAAAAAAACCACAGTTGCAGTTTCGTTATTTTGTAAAGAATAAAAAAATTTCTATATATTTTTTTATTATTTTAACAGCAATTATTTTTTTAAATACGAACAGTGGCGTAGGAAGGATTTTAAATTTTTAAAATAACCAACTGATAAATAAAACGTAATTCCAAAATTTTTCACGTTCAAATGTATGACGAAAAGATTCATTAAAAAAAAAAATAACTGCAATAGGAGAATGGGAACAAGAAACCCTAAAACCTAAACCCCCTCTGTCCCAAACAAGAGAACAGCAAGTTGATGAAATCTTTTTGTATCATTTTTAACTAGACTTATATCCATCAAGAAATTTTAAATTTCATAGTAAAATATTTTAGTGTTTAAAAGTTTTGACCATATAAAGTTTGCAGCCATGTCGAATTGAGAGGGGTGTAAACTTTATACAATAATAATATAATATAAAATAAGCTGTTACAATTGTTTTACCAATTGCGGAACACAATAACAGAAGAGATGAGGAGGAGTGTTGTGACAGCTATGTTGTTACTTAATTCAAGCGTATAGTTGAATTAGGTTAATGTTTTTAAAAAGTTTTTTCTTAAGATAAATTCATTGCAATAATTTTGTTGCGTCTAGTCTATTCTTAAACTGATTAATTCAGCTTCAATAAACGAATAAAGTAAACCATTCCAAGCCTCAAAGATACGAGTTGTATAAAAATTAGAACGAATTTTACTTTTACAATAGGTTTTTTTGAGTTTTAGGCTGTGACCAAGAAGATCGTAACTCTTTTTGTTATTTACAATAATCGAGTTATTATGATTAATCCAATTAAATATATCATGTCCATTTAGAATATTTTACTGTTGTATTAGATCTCCACGTAAACGTCGTTCTTCTAAACTTGCTAGTTGTAATACTTCTAGTCTCTTTTCATACGGTACTTTTTTCAGAGCTGGAACTAACTTTATTGCCCGTCGTTAAATTTTTTCTAATTTTTCCATGTTCTGTGTGAAGTTAGAAGACCATACTTGTATGTCAAATTCCAAATATGGAAATACAAATATTGTATAGAGTCTTTTGACTATCTCTACGTCGAAATACTTAAACGTACGTTTCATCATTCTAAGTACTGAGTTTGTTTTACTTACTACCATTTCTATTTGTGAGGCCCATTATAAATTCAAACATATCATATAACCAAGATCACGTTCTATATTTGACTCTTCATAATTTATGGTCATAGTTTTTTAACACAACAATATGTTGCAATGAAATTTAAAATTTCTGGATGAGTATAAGTCTAAGTCTGGATGAGTATGAGTTTAAGTTCAAAATATTGTAAAAGAAATTTCATCAACTTGTTGCTCTCACAATTTTTGCAGAGGGGGCTAAGATTTTAACGTCTCTAGTTCCCAGTCTCCTTTAACTGAAATTTATTTCTTAAGAGAATCTTTTTGTAATACATATGAACGTAAAAAATTTTGGAATATTCTTGTTGTTTATAAGTTGGTTGTTTCAAACACTTAAAAACCTCTCTTCGCCAATGAATGAACATAATATTTTTTGATTTATGACATAAAAAACTTAAAACCATATATTAAATTGTTTTATCTTTTTTAAGGGGGAAACTCCCCCTAAAATCATTAAAAAAACAAAAATTTAGTATGACCGTTTTTAGACATAAAAATTACCATAAATTTCATTTATGTAATTTGTTTTTTATAAAAATTATTCTAAAGTGCAGAAATTTTAGGTTATTTAATGGTGAGTTGATGTTTCGATATATCAAAAGTGTAAATATTTTAATTAATAATGACACTGTGATTCACTGTCTGAGTGATGAAAATAAAAATGACGCTTCTCATAATATTGTAAATATTCCAGCATCACATTCAAAAATACAACAAATTAATGTAGTAGAATCTTCTACTCTACTGTCGGGATATAGAATTATTGATATAGAAGTGTTATCTGTTATTATAAAGAACTCATTTGTCCAATGTGCTTCAATGAAGACTCTCTTGTGTTGCCTGACAAGTTAAAAGATCGACATGGACTTGCCTCTTTTTTAGTTTCAAAATGTTCAGATTGTTTATTTTATAAAAAATTTTGTTCTTCAAAAAAAGTGGTATGCAGAGATACGACATAAATATTCGAGCTATTTACACAATGCGGTTGTTGGGCCACGGTCACGCAGGACTTGAAAAAATCACTTCTTTAATGAATATTCCTCCGCCAATGACTAGAAATAACTACGACAAGCTTGCTAAAACAATCTCTAAAATTGTGAAAAAAGTAGCAATAGAAACTAAGTGTGATGCTGCTGACACAATTTGAATACTGATATTTTTGATACTGGTGTTTCATGTGACGGGACATGGCAAAGACGAGGTTTAATGACTGCAACGACGAGGCGTAATGACTGCAACATTTATTGATGGTGGAAAGTTAATGGACGTAGAACCAATGAGTAGAATTTATAAAGCTTGTATTTTAATGGAACCAAAAAAGAAAAGTGAATCTTTACATTTTGCTGAGTGGAGAAACGTACATAAAAGTCCATATGACTACAAAGGGTCTGCTGGGGTTTTGGAGCCAATTGGTATGAAAAAAATATTTTAACGTTCTATTACAGAACGCAAGCTTCGCCATGTAAACTATTTAGGTGATGGGGACAGTAAGAGCTATTTAAATGTTATGAATGTCTACCCTGGTTTGGAAGTAAAAAAACTTGAGTGTGTTGGACATTATCAAAAACGTATAGGTACAAGAATAAGAAAGTTGAAGAAAATAACAAAAAACCTTGGTGGTAGAGGTAAATTAACAGATGCAACAATTGATCGAATGCAAAGTTATTTTGGCATTGCATTCAGAGCTAATGTAGGAGATTTAGCATCTATGAAAGCTGGTACTCTGGCATCACTTTATCATGTTGCCTCCAACAAAGAGAATAATCTACATTTTCCACATTGCCGACTTTTTTCACACGCCGGCCGTTCTATCTCAAAAACCGTTTTACCAATTTTGATGAAATTTTCTGGAATTGTTTTTATGATTATAAACTGTGGTTTATAAAAACAGTTTTTTAAATTGAGGCTTAGATTTTTTTATTTCTAATATTTTAAATAAAAAAAATTTTCGCCATCTATAAATGTGCACACATAGCTCAGATTTTCAGTTACAGGAAAATGCCTCTATTAAAACACCCTTTGAAGCATTTGGTAAAAGCTTTTTAAGAGATCTTGCACGGTTATTTAGTTTTTATGGCCGGTGTGAATGCTTTTTTTGACCTTTTTATGTGTTTTTTGTGGTTACTATGGCAACTAAAAACCATTTTGTATTTTTTTCCAAAGGTTTTGTTTCTTCAAATTATATTAATGTTTTATATCCTTGATTTTGTTTTAAATGTTTAATACTTCTGTTTAAGTAGGGGGGGGGGGGAGTTTCCCCCTTTAAACAGAAAAAGATAATTTTGCGCCCTATTAAATCTTTGCGCCCGGAACAATTTCTCCTTTGGGCCCTACCTTGTTACGCGACTTCATTTTGCTCATGAATTTTTAATCTCTGGCTCAAGATTGTTACTAGGCTACTTTAAATCTTTAAATGGCAAGAAGGAGTGGTAGAAAACAATTTCTTTATTCTCTTTAACTTTTAAATCAGTTTAAAAAGTGTTGATATTTGTTATGATATGTGTAATATAGATAATTTCTTATCTTAATTTATATTAAAATAATTGGAATATTTGATATATTAATAAGGGAATGAGAAAAGAACATGAAACGCACGCTAATTCTGCAATGCAAAACCATCTTTTAATGGCAATATCAAAATTGGACGCACTTGAAAACAAAATGACGTTAACAGTGGATACGCTTGAAAATAAAATTGCGTCAAAATTGAATGCACTTGAAAATGAAATTACGTCAAAACTAGAATCACTCGAAACCAAAATTGCGTCGGAATCATTTGCACTTGAAAATAAAGTTACCTCAAAAGTGGAATCATTTGAAAACAAAAATGCATCAGAAGCGGTTGCACTTGAAAATAAAATTACTTCAACAGTTGATGCACTTAAAAATGAACTTATTTCAAAAGTGGATAAACAAAAAGATAAAATAATGTTACATGAGAAAAATTTGGAAGTAATAAAAGCCTTTCTTGCAGTTGAAATGGTAAGAAAATGATTTAAATAAAAAAGTGTTTTAAAGTAAATAAAGAATAAAAGCAAAAAATTGACAAAAAATATATGTCATAATTATGGCGTACTATAAGTATATAGTATAGTAATATAACACGGCCGGATAACATGCTTTTCGGAGCGAAATAGTAGAAGGGTAACTTCAAACCATAAATATATCGTAAAACATGATTGGCCACACTTAACTCAATAAAAACTATAATTTTTAGTCGGATTTTTGTGTACGGAAATGTGTATAAAGTATAAATTTTGTTTGACAAATATTATAAAAGTCTGATAAATTAGGCACTTTCATTTGCCTGTTGATTTTTTTCCTATAAAAAACTTACACCGCTGAAATAAGAGATTACTATATTTTACTTTGTTCATCAATAAAAGTTGTAATAACTTTATTAAACAACAAAATATTAAAATTAGCAATGACTTTAATTACTTTAAAGATGTACCTCATATTTTTCTCAATAATGTTAACAAGATATTTAAAAAGATAAATAAAAATCTAACAATAAAGCAGGATAATACATTAAAGGTAAATTAAGTCAGCTGTATAACTTGGCATTGATTACTTCATTTTAGTTCAGCTGGATTGATTATTTTCAACTAATTCAGCGTTAATATATTACTTTGTCTGCGTTTAAAATTCTTTACACTATTCTTTCGAATTTCATTAAAATTTTGTTTCTGTTCAATGTTAAATATATATTTGTAATAATGTGATTTACAAATTTTATACCAATAATTTGATGAACATGATATAAGATGATCTAATCGGATGATCATTCTTATGGAATGATTATCCCATAAGATGATCATTCCATAAGAACAAAGTAGCACCAGTGGCGGCGCCAGCATTTTTTGGCCTTTGACGTAGCTAACCTCCAGATATGGCGCAAACTCCAAACAATTATAAGTTTATACTAATGTAAAAGGTTATGTATAAGGATGTTTATGTTTTACATAAGTTTATGTTATGTTTTACATTAGTAAAATGGATGACGGAAAGACGGTGGCTATCTACCTGTCGATGTAGTTGAATATATAGATGACGATATTTTTTCAATTAAGCAATAAATAATTGGAACAAGATTTACGTCCCAAACTAATGTTTTGCCAACTTTAAAATTTTTTCTTTAAAATGTTTAGCACAAAAAGCTATTTTTTTACTGGGGTTCAACTTTTGATTGATAAATTAACATAACTTTTGTTTGATAAATACTTAAGTATTTATTAGTTGTACTACCCACTGTTTAAATAAGTAAGGATTACTTTCCGGAAATCCAAAAATTAGATGCTTTACAGAAATAAAATAAAGTCGATTCTCACTCTTTTTTTATTCAGTTTTACACTAAACTACAACACATATATTAACCATATTATGAATATTCAAATAAACAGTTTTATAAAACAATTAAGAAAGTCTGAAAGTTAACCTTCAAATTTTTTACTCCAAAAAGCAATCGGTCGTGTAAATATAGTAGGCCATGGTCATATTCAATAACTTACTAAATACGTCCAGCCGTGAGTGTGTTTTGCTCAGAGTTGAAAAGTTAAATTTATAATATTTAATACATAAAAATATATAAAAAAAGATTAAACAAGCAATAAAATTAAATTAAAAAAAAAAATTTTACTTTTCTATAAATGAAAAAGACAAGTGCATATAGCTATTATTTTTGAAGTTATTTTTAAAAAAATTTTCTTGGGCAATCAGTTTAATCGTGTAAAGTTCCAAATAATATAAAAACTACTTAGGTAGAGTAGAGCGGGGCTAGTTGAGCAATTTTTACTAAATCTAACAGATCTTATGAACGGTCCGTTGGACTTTTTTTTAATATTTGAATGATAATTTAACTTACTAAATATTTGTTAAGAAAAAATTACAGTTTTTGATTTTTTTTTTAATATATTGTCTAAAGTTTGCGGAGCTACTCAACCTGCCTCAGTGGGTTAAGATAATCAATAGTGTGTGGTAAGTTGAAAAATTAACAAATAAATGAATATATATGGTACGAAACTTAAATGTTTAGTGTGTTTAGAGATTATAAACTTTTTATTTTATACACTTTAATGACGTAAGTAAAAAAAGGAGAAAAAAATAAATAGTAAGAAAGTGTCATAAACTATAAAAATATATTTTTATACAACTATCTTGAACTTTAAAGCCTGATTTAAACATTACTAATTATAAAAATATATATAAATAATGCACCACTTTATTATTTAACATAAAAGCATAGTGGGCCAGAAATCACTTTTACTGGACAAAACTAATAACTCGTCATATAAAAAAAAAATGAAGAACCATTTTTACATTGTTTACTAACTTGAGGATTGCTGTTTTGATGGTGACACAATTTTTAACTTTAGGTTGCTATGGATACCTAAATTGCTTAGCAACCACATACTTTATTACTTTAACAATATAAAGTAGAAAAAGTAATAATTTTTTTGGATTTCTCCCATAATTATCACGTTGAGTATTTTGATACTACAAATGTAGTGGTACTATGGATTTCTTTTTTGGTTGATAGTGTTATCTAAAATGCCTGTCGCTTCATTTTGTATAGTTACTGGTTAAGTAACTTTTTTCCAAGCATCAATCTTATAACTATAATAATATTAATATGGCAGTCTGACTAAAAATTATTTTATGTACTTAAAAATTCAACACATTCCCAATTACTAATTTTAAGTATTTGTATGCAGTTTCAAGGCTCTATTTTATATTTCATGAAACTACTACATAATCCATATAAAAGAAACCCTGAGTTTTAACCTTATTGTGTATATAAAATGTTAGGTTTAGTTAACTTCAAATTTTCTTGTATTATATATGAATAAAAAAATAAATACTTGGTGCACCGGGTAAATGATGTACCCAATTTTATGTGGCGAAAACATTATATGTATTTTATTCTAAATGATTATGTAATAATTGGGTCTCAGCAAGACTAGAATAGTTTTAGAAACTTGTTTTATAAATTATACATTCTAAAATACCTATTTGAAATTTTGTAAATAAAATTTAAATTTTTATATAGTTAAAACATGAAAAGTATTGATAATTATTTATATATAACAGCTAATCTGACAACCGCGGTGTGAGATGAGCTACCATCTAGCTTGTTAATAAAAAACGCGTTAAAGACGTAAAAAATACGTAGCTTTTTTGTATTATAAACGTTTTTAAAATGTTTAAAACACGTAATTTTGAACACGTTCTACGTGTTTTAAATGTTTTTAAAACGTCGTGCACCAATTAGCTATCTTTTTTACCGGTTAACTTATAAAAATCATTAATAGGAACCAGGCAGACATCCGCGAAATATAAAATAAACTTATATTGATAGTATACATATTGAACAATGAATTTCAAGTTTCAAATTACTGCAAAAGTATTCGACTATAAAAGTGAAATTTCAACAAAATAAATACTACAAATACCCGTCATTTGAAACCATTTTATTTGACATAACTTATATGCAAATTAGTATTCCCGACGAGCATTTGTTTTTAAAAGTTACGATCTAAATGTATTTTAAATGTCTTTTAAACGTCTTTTAAACATTAATGTTTAAAAGACGTTTAAAAGACGTTTAAAACACATTTAGAACGTAACTTTTAAAAACAAATGCCCGTCGGGTTGTTATAAGTCATTTGAAAGATAATACTTGATTTTATGAAATGAAGCAATAAAAAGTAGGTTTAAAGTTAACATCTATTCCATGCTTATTAGTAACATAAAAAATTCTATCAAATTATAAAAAAAAATTTTGAAAAGTATATTTTAAAAAAAGGTTTTTATTCTACAGCTAAGAAGTATACAGCATTATAGTTATACAAAAATATATACATTTTAGAAAAGATGATTGTTTAGGATATAAAATGGTGTATAATAATGTAATATTTTAATATGTACTTTTTTTTTTACTTTTGTCCACCACCTGGCCCACTGTACAGCCGCATCAAGTACTTTCTTTGAGAACAAATTTATATCTTTGAGAACAAATTCATAAAATTTAATACACGATTTAGAAAATTTTACTAAACTTAGAACTCTGCGCTCACAAATTCAACGCTCGCTCTATTTCTTTCTAACCTCTCACAATTCACGAGTGTGAAGATTTTTCCACAAAATGCATTACTTGCCGGATTAGACAACACATAGGAAACAATTTTTAGTAAATTTACTGGAAAATATTTATCACCACAATTAACGATAAATGTTTGCCATTTTACAGCAGCACTGTCATTTTTACCATCCGCAGTAACGTTTTCTAATCTTGACTTTGCTGATAAATATTTATTGTACATCAAGCCCACGTTTATAATTGAAGTTAGAAACAGGATACCGCAAGCAGTAATGATGTTCTCAAAGCTGGGGACAACCTGCACGGAGAACGGCTGCAAAACACGTGTAACTGCTCAAAACAAAAAATCGAACCACTGCCTTAAATAAGTCACAGCTTCTGTAAACTAGCATATAAATTTGGCTCAATTGACTTTTTTATAGCCGCGCGAATATATCTAACTTAAGAATAAACTAGGCGCTAAACCCAAAAAATCTGTCTTAAAACCAGTTGTTCAACTTCTTGCGTATGTCATACATAACATTATAATGCTCGCAAAAAAACTTGTTATCTCTTTCAAGAACAAGAACAGTTTTTTTAAAGACAAAATACAAGTTTTGGAAAAAAAACAAATAAATTCTGGTGACTTTCAGTTGCAAATCAACGTAATCAATGTTGACCTTAAAAACAAAACACTTTTCATTGCTGTTTTCAACTGAACTGTCCAAGAAATTTTCTTAATCTTACCGAACAAACTTCTCCAAGTGATTTTAATATGAAACAATGGCCGGCCTCACCCTTAGGTGCCTCTGATCATGGTTTGATCACTCTGAAACTATTATCTCATTCTTCTTTATCATCAAAATCCTCCTATCATCGTACATCTTACAACTAACTTAAAACT